TACCTTTTTTTTGTAATGTTGAATTGTATGTACGTGAGCGCCCAGATCTTTGTTTTGAACTGATATTTAGTGACGTGCGAGGTCCTTTACAACGATTTAAGCGCGTTTCAGTGGACGAGTATTTGCAACACAGTGTTTTGAGTTTTGTGAGTTTTTATGGTGTTTTAATGAGTTTATGAGTACGGATTATGATGGGGAAAGTAATGCCCCAATGAGTTTTTTTTAAGAGTTTTGAGATTTGTCGAGTACAGAGATACCGACGTTTAAGAGTTGTTTTTGTTTATGTGTTGTTTTCCGGAATACTTCTGACGCTTTTTGAGTTGATAGCACCTTTGTAACGTTTTTTAATGTCTTTTTTAGGATGAGAGTTTGGTGCGCTTATATACGTATTGTTTGATATCGCAAGCTTTTGTTCATGATTGACAGGATTATATGTAACTCAGTAGTTTCTATCGTTTTTGCCTTTCCCGTCTTTTTTGCCAGAGGAGTAATGTGTTATGAAAGCGACTTTGTCTTTGCATTCTGTTTCCATGCCGTATGACTTTTGTTTAGATTAACGAATTGTGAGTTCAGTTGAAGTTTATAAGGGTATGTGACAGGACTTTGATTAATAGCTTTTTTTCATTCTTTATTAGTTACCGCTTTGCAATGCTTTAACCGAGAGACGCATCCCTGGTAATCACGTGATCATGCTGTCGACTGCAGCGATTGGCTGATCGCTTGGTTACACCGCCACGCCTTAGTTTTTTTTGACCTTTTGATATAGAGTTTGTAACCTTAGTAACGGAGAAAGTGAAGCGAAGGGTTTCCCTCAGCGAACTGTTTGAGCAAAGCGAGTCGATTGGTAGCCTTTCCCTTGTTTTTGATTTATAACTGTTGATATTTGAGACTTTATAACCATTGTATTTAGACTTTATAATCATTGTACTTAATTAGTGTGTTTTTCTCTTTTTGATTTATTCCTTTTATTAGTATTGTATTTAACCTGTATGACGATGAGTAGAGGACGGTATCTTTGATTTATGAACGTGTTATGCCAAAAGGCATATCTCAGTTTGGGTGAAGGGATGTGTCATGAATTTGTTTTTGCGTATCTGTTAACCGACTTAATTAACTGATTATTAGCGAATTGCTGTGTTATGTCTGTCATCGTGTAGGCCTATTTGAAGTTTTGGACGGAACTTGGCTCAGTGGTTTGGAACTAATTACCAGATACCGTCGCTATTCTGACATCCGTAGTTATTAATGTAGTGAACGATTAATCAAAAGATATGACGTATTCAGTACTTAGTGTGATTGGCTTTATGATTGAAGGTTACGCCCTAGAGTCTTTTTACTGTTTTGTAATTGGTTAGAGTTTTGAAAATGAATAAAGAGAGTTTGAGTTGGTCTTGGCGAATACTCCACGACAGACGCAGTCCGAGAGAGTCCAGGGGCGAGCCTTGACGCAGTCTAAGAGAGTCTTGGTTCAGCCTTGTGAGAGTCTTGGGAACTATTCCCCAGGGCGCTGTGTCTTATAGAGTGCTCCAAAAGATCGACTAAGACGAGAGCTGAAACGTATTTCGTTGTGTGTGTCTTATTTGACTGTAAAGTTAAAGTGACTTTCCCGATCCCGTACCTCAAGGGGACGAGATATAGAGACGAGACGAGATTCCCCCCGACAGAGTGGAGAACCCCGGGGAGAAGATTTTCCCCCTGATAGATATATCAGTTCCATAGGAAAACCAAGGTGAAATGCCCTAAAACAGACAAAACGAACTATTTCACTCCATTTTGTACATCGATTTTCTCCGAGCCATGTACGGTGACCCCATACTTTTATTCCATTTTCTTTATCCTTGTGACATGAAATATAAAATTTGTAAAACGGAAGAAAGTTGCAATATTTTGTCCTTTGTGTAGCGTGCTTAAAATGACGCCAGTCCAGTCATTGACAATGAGTGATGTAAATTTAAAACGAAATCGGTCTATACAGGCATGTCCGAGGAATGACTGCCACGATGGATTGATGGATGGATGAATTACGTCTGTTAATAACATGTCGAATAAAACAACTTAAAGGGCGGTGGTCGTCATGCCACGCATGCGCGAGATATGGGGCTCATTTGACTCACCTTGACTGTTGTGCAGACCAGTGAGTACAGCCTGAGCGTTACTAAACTTTAATTTCTTTGGTAATTGGAAGGTTTCAGGAGTCACCGGCAGTAATTAGTGCACGTTGCGCCCAGGTCAAAACTCGCGATTTCAAAATGTTTTAATATTACTTGTCGATAAATAGATATCCGATGCATTAGTTGGCTTGTGTCTTGTCTGCTTTGAATGGTATATATGTCAAGTGAAAGAAGGGTAGTGTTTTTTATTCTACTCTTGTCTTTTGTTTTCAGCTACTATTAATTATTCTGTTGTATACCCTAAACTTTCATACCATCGGACTAGCAATATATTTTATTACTACTAGTAGTTCGAAGTTGGAGGAAGGACTTGTTGTGTAAATATCATGATTTGAATTGTGGAAATGCTATGATCATAAAAACAGTCAATACCATTAGCAGTTTTTTTGAACTAGGTAATATTTCGTCATAACGAGGTAATATTTATTTTTTTCATAAATTCCATATGAAGTAAAATATCATTTCTATTTATTTCATTAAACTGAGTTTGTTTTTTCACTGATGTGTACATTCATGAGATATTAGCTCGATATTAGATTTATACAATTATCGGACAAATGACACGTATAAATATTTAGGTCGAAATTAGATGGGTTGGGACTTGGGTCATAGTCAGGTCAGGATTTCTATGATTGCGAATTCTTCGATTATCGAAGTTTTAGCTCGATATAAGACAACAATAAACCTCATCTGGTTTGTATTATTGTTCAATAATTATCCAATAATGGAAACAAATATCCAATGTCCCGCTTGCATGTCAAATTTGCAGTTATTCAAGCAATAGCTGTAAACACCGTAGTCATCTCGTTCAGTCTCAATGCGAGTTACCACACTCTCGCGTGTCTTCAACGTGATGTTGTGGAAATGCCCGTGACGTCATCACTATGGCGCCAAGTGAAGAGGATCATCGAGTATATGTAGCGATTTGGGACTTGGCATTTTCATGGACTGAGCTTATATTGCAGTATTTTGGAGTATAGTTAACTGAGGAAGAATCTGATAATAATGGCCGTTTCTGTGTTAGGCCTTGCACGGGATATGGACTGTGGATAAGGATTTCCATTAGAGTGAATATTTAATTACCCTCTGCTCCGTGCTGTTAGGTAGCCTACGCACCAAACCTAAGCACGAGTTCACCGAAGGTTATCTTCGATATACTGCTCTTTGATTGAATTGCTGACCGACTCGTACATACTGGTCAGTGGAGAAACATTTACTAAACGTCATCGTAGGTATTTTTTTTTGCTACATGTGGTTATTTTTTATGTCGTTCTTTTAAAAAGGCACACAGGCACGCCGATCACAATATGGCGACCATGCTTGGAGTAATATTGTGAGGGAAGAATGTATATTTTTCTCATATATTGTCACAATCAATACGTGGTCTTATAAATCCCCTGTTTAATAACCGTTGAGGTCGTTTTATTTTTGCGATCTTTCATTCGCACTGTGTGAACATCACCGAAGGAGGAGTGGTCGCCATTTTGAAATATCCGATTTCGCACAATTTGTTAACAAAATACAGCGTCGTAGTTGAAGATAGTGACAGAATGTGGAATTATTGCGGTGTCACCAAGCCAACTTGTCTTATTTATAGACCCCCTGAAATAAGTTTGCATCTGTAACTCTGTTTTACAAAAACAATCGCCCACTGTACACGTTCCCGTTGAGGAGATCCGAATTTGTTTGGCCAATTAGCATACTATGCAAATATCGTGTCAAAGGTCAATGACGCACAAGCTGCTTTTATTATGGTAAAAACATAGCGTTTTAGTTTACGGCCAGAAGTGTGGAATATTTCTACAATGCTTCTGTTATTTTGCCACTCTAACTGATCTTATTTTAGTTTTTATATTCATGGTAATATTCAAAATACTCTTATTAATTGTACTGCTGCGCTATGTATCAACACTTTGTGTTGTACGCATGCGTCTAATGTATTGACTATTGTCAACAAAAGCAGGTGCTAGCTATATAGGTTAACAGTGTTCTTTGTGCAGATGCAGCGTCAGCTACATTTCTCAAATTAGATGCTGCCTGTGTGAAATGGTAATTTTGTCATGATTCTGTCATTGTTTGTGTCGATGTGAATATTTGATTTTGCTTGTCTGTGTTTGATCAATGTATCCTTGTATTCAATATTACAGTCTCCTGATAGCATCGTTGGTATAAACGGAATCATCATGAGTATTGTACCACCCCCTCCTCAGCCAATCTTTGAAACGTTAACGAGTAATAACAGCAGTAAGCCAGCTGAGGTAGGAATATGTTTATTTATTTATTTGTCCGTGATATTGTCTACAACAACAGAATACTAATATATTTTATTGTTTTTGTACAATTACCATCTGAGGTGCAAACTAGGTTTACTTAAAAATGAAATTAATTTAAAACAAGTAACTTGGAAAGTGATACTTCTACATGTAAACTGAATCAGAAATATTGAATATTTTTTTTGTAAGGGTACATGTAGCATTGAACTGACCATAAACGCACCCAAAAATGGCATTGTTTGCATGTATTACATGTATGAATATGCTACCTGTACAACAGTTACTACACTGCTCCCACACCTCATTTCTTGGTTAAATAAAAATGCCTTGAATAAATACTAATATTACATATTGTACTAAAATGTGCATATTTTTTGTACAGCTTTTTTGTTAAAACGATGATTTATTTCCCCCAAATTCCTCCTGACCTAGTACATAATGAATGAATTTGAGCACCCCTTAAAAAATGTGATTTTTGGAGTTGAGTGGCCTGGGTGCTAGGTCAGTGCAGTATGTGCTTTGTGTTTTTGTTAACTTAATACTTGATAGCTGTAAAAATCTATTCTTCAATTCAAATTTGTAATGTATTTAATAACCTTGGTTATTTTTGTTGTTGGATTTGTTTGTTAAATTTGTAAAATCTGTATGAAGAAATTAATAAATCAATAATGACATTTTTTTTCTACAACGGCATTTCAAAACTAAAGTCAGCGATTTTTCATTGATCTATCTATTATTTGTGTAACGCTACGATCACCGTAACATTGTCAGCTGACGGCATTGCGTTGAACGGGTATTCACCGCTGCTGTTGCGATCATCGGTCCCTGACTTTTTTGCTTAAAAATACACAAACTTAGAATGTTTGCTTAATTAAAACGATTCATTGATGATTAACTTAGAAATTACATCAAAATCGCCAACGAAATGTTGTTTTTAAACATCGCGGAAAAACATGCACTCTGCGCCGCCATCTTTGTTACCTCAATCAAAATCTACGTTGTAACCCAGCATGCATCGGTTGTGATGTCACTACATGCGTTACGTC